GATTTTTCCATGTCCTGGTCAAATCCTGCCTTACACCAGCGCAGGCTTAGGACTTTACCTCTCTGACCTGGGTGCCTGGTCTTACTGGAAAATTCCCCAAGTAGCTGGACTACATGTTAATCTACTTCTAAAACCTCAAGGTTGTGTTGCAGTTAACCTAATTCTAATACGACATACCTATAAATTTTAATGCTGTGTCTTAGCAACTAACCTTCCTGCCTGGACTCTTAATCCAGGCCTGCGAATCATACTGAATTCTCAGCTAAACTGCCTGCCAGTTCTTTGAGGGGCCCGAGACACTTGAGTTCACTGTGGACCATTCCTCCCCCTGAAAAATTTAAGAAACCTGTGAGGATTAATGAACTAATGTCTGCAGAGGTCTTCAAAGAAAGGTGCTATGTAAACACCAAGTATTATTCTTCTGTTTATGAGAAGTAGTATAATATTGCCGCTGAGAAACTGGGCCTTATGTTTAAAAGCACCGTAACATCCCCCTTGGCTCTTTTGGGGCTTGGATTGGGTTAGAATGGGGTACTTCAAGGAAAAGCTGAGCCACTTAGCTTCATGCATGGGGAGACTAGAAATTCTGATGAGAATATGCTCATTGATGTTGGATCAGTTTCTCCTGGTCTCCCTTCCTTGGAAAACTCCACATTAAACATTCATACTCCCTAAGAACAAATTCCTGTCTGAGCAGTTTTGAGACTGTCTATATGAAACACCACACTCCATGTGGAATTCTTCCCAGCATCCTGTTTCTGGAGATAGGAAGCTTGTGGCCTGCATTTATCCCTGTGGCGTGGGACGGAGTGGAGTGAGCCATGGCTGAACCTGTTTGTCTCTCAACATTGTTAGGATGGTGATGGGCAAGGGCTTCACTCCAACCCTGATGATAAAGGAACAGCCATTGGGGATGGATATGCTTCTACTGCAGTGGGTGTTTGTATTTGGATGGGGGATTTTTGAAAGCCTTTCTTTAGAGCCCTTCCCCAAGGTAGGTTACCACCATGAAATGGCAGAAGTGTGACCATATGTAGGAGGGAGGGGTGGGTGGGAGGAAGGAAGGATTCCTAATTTAGGAGGGAGCCCCCCTCTGCCTGTTTACCTCTGTCACATTACTCCTTGGCCCATGTGCCCTGTTGACATATTGAGCAGTCTTCTTTTGGACATTAAAAAAAAAAGAAGAAGAAAAAAAAAAGAGAATCATAACTCCGCAGCCTTCCTGGTCTTTTGCTAAACGATCTGGCAGTTTGAATTTGCATATTTGCCAAGGGCCAGCTGTTTGCCTTTGGGGCAGACCTTGTTTTCACAGGGACCTGAACAGAAGGGAACTGTCACCAGGAGAAGAGACTCGTGCAGCCTGCCATTTCTCTAGTATAGCTGACCCCGTGGCACGTCAGCCACGTTGCAGGACGATTGGGATGCTGTTTCGTGGTTTTGCAATAGTCTGTCCGTAGATGGTCTTGCCGTCAGCACTGTCACTGAACTGACTGCTGAGCTCTTGTCTCCAAAATTATTGTTATTATTATTTTTAACATAGATTTAAAAACGAGGTTATAGTTTCTGCATCCTATAATGGGATTGGTTCTGGAAAAAGTTTCGGATAAAAGTATCTTCAAAGACATTTGTGGAATATTCAAGAGCAGCTCCACGATGTTTCTCTTTTGCAGTGTGTAGAGGCGACTGGAAATATTTCCTGTTGGTGTTTTGTTGCCTTCTGTACACATTATCCCACTCTGAGAACGGGAGAGAGTTCTGCAAGCCGTGGTCAACCTCACTGCTGCAGCACCTAAGGCCAGGGAGCTTTGTGCTGCCATCTGGCGGCAAGCATCAGGCTCAGCAAGTGAGCCGCTGTCATCCTGTCTGAACTTGGCTGTGGCTGGAGCTGTGGTTTGGCTGGTGTCCTTATGGAGTTTTCCTGCCAGACATGTAAACTTTTTCTTCTTTTTTTTATTCTCTGTACCCGCCCCCCTTTGCTTTTTGCATGTTGACAACATGTTAAGGGTGCATCCCAAGGTTATGATTTTTTTTGATGCATTTGTGGATATTAAGGTGTCTGTCATCCCTTCTTTCTCAACGGAGACAGGAACACTGCAGGCCTACCTCCCTAGCTGACTGACCCTAGCTATGGTAAACACGGAGACATGAAGAGAAAGCAAAGGGCTGTCAGTTTATGCTCTTACACGTTGGTTACGTTATTACCTCCTGACCTTTTTCTTGTGTGAATGTGGCCTTTTGACCATTGTTTCTGTTTGCTTAGAATAGGTTATTTTCCGATCCCACCTGGAATTTGTAGAAAACAGACGCTGTCAGTCTTTCTTTCAGAAGTGTGGAGGCCTGGCCCTGTTGATACCTGATTGTTACCTCTGAGAAGCTGCTCTCTGTAGATGTCCTGACTCTGAGGCAGGTCCTTGGAGTGAGTCTGCTGGACATTGAGGCTCATTTCTCACATGGAAAGCTGAGAGGAGACCCAGGCCGGGAGCCTGTTTTCTTCCACTCGGTTTCCTGAACACCCAGGAGGCCCCCAAGTGTCTATAATTACATAGTGGGCTGCACTTACAAGCTATTTACATGACAGAGACGTCTTAGTCTAGCTGTCTCACTTGTGTTTGTTGACCTGCAAATGTGGCCCACCCTTGCTTTTTCATCTGGAAAGACTGGCTGAGGTGAAGTTTTGTAGAAGAATGCACTTATGGCTCAGAGGCCCGGCACATGGGAATCAATAACACAAAGTATTTGCTTATTAAAACTTGAACTGAACAAGTTGCAACCTCTAGCTTCCGCTCTGATTTGCAGGACTGTGGGGATGAGAGCCCCTGAAAGGGGGGCCTTGTGCATGCCACTCCTCGCCAGAGCCACTGGCTCCAGGATACAGGTTTTTGTGTCTTGTCCAAATCCAGGAAGCCAGGCAAACGGTGTTAATTACCTGTGTCTGAATTTCCCATGGAGCTCTTAGAGTCAATTAAGGTGATGGGGAAGCAGCTTCTCAACGGTGACCTCACAGCCTTCTTATTTCTTTCCTTGCTGTTCTAAGTATATCATCACATCCACACCAACCAGACTACGATCAGACTTCAGGGAAATGATATGATCTGGCAGCTCCAACACGACTCCTGTTAGGACATAGAAAATTCTAAGGGTAAACGGGAAGAAAATTTTATCTCTCAAAATATACACCTAAAGTTTAGGTGTGTGTATGTGTGTGTCTGTCTGTCCATACACTTTAAAAAATCCATATGTGACTATACAAATATTTGCCTAGGATATCTTGTATGGGGGACTATAATTATAAACCATTTAATCTGAATCTTCTTATGGGCTTATCTGTCTCCCAGGTTTCTAATTTTGCTTGAAGTTCTCAAGAGTGTACGACTTCTTGCTTACCAGATCTCAGATGGCTTCTCATCATCTCTCTGACTGTCCTGTGAGATTGAGCTCTGTCTGAGACTCCTCCTTTCAGAGAGGACAGGTTTTTAGGGGGCCCATCCCTAGGCTGTGGCCAGGTCTACTGCACTGACACGTATGTGTGAGACAGAAACCCTGCTTGTTGTCAGTCATAGTCTTCCTATGTTAAAATATGATCCATGCTTTGCACGGGAAGCCAGAACAGGAAGCAGTGTATACATGCATACATGCAGACAGTGCATACATACATACATGTCTGATAGTTACTCTCATTGCATTCAGTGGGAATTACCTAAAATTAAAAAAATATATGTATCTCTCTAATTTTCATTGTGATTAGCTATGTTATGTTTGGAATATAAGAAAAGTTATAAAAACAAAAATGTGGGCTGTTGAGATAAGGGCTCCCTGTCACCCATGTTCCTCACACACTCACAGGTACATTTCTCCAAGGTCCTAGACCAGAGCTTGGGTACCCTTCCTTCCTCTCTTGAAGTACACTGAGCACAGGTGGCTCTTCTTAAGGTCACCAGAGCGCATTCTGAAGAGAGCTGTAGGCATGCCCCAAGCTGAGCGAGCTGGGATTGTGGTTCCCCAACTTGTCACACATCGGGAAATAAGGGTTCTAAGGAGCCACAGCCTCACCTCAGGCTGGGGCATGGGTGGTGCACATCTGTGACTTCAAAGGGAATCTTCTCCCTGGGGTCACTGAAGCTGCTTCAGACCTGGAAGCCAACTACCTTCACAGAGTGGCGCTTTGGTTTTCTTAACTGTAGAATGTATCTCATAGGATTTAGATCACAATAGCAGCCACAGCACATAGCCTATCATAAGCCTTTGTTAGAACCCGACTCTTCTTTGGTTGGTCATGTTTTGGGATCAGGAGAACACCTCTCTGCTCTCGGTGTAGGCAAAGCCAGCAGTCCTGTTCGGATCTCCTTTAAGGCATTTTAACAGCTAACCTTTCGGGATACAACCAAAGATGCAAATGCTCAGCACACTTTCATTAGCATAAGTGCTAATGTAATACAGCTGTCCCACAGCTATAAAACACTGAGGACTGTGTCTGTGCTTGGCATGTGGGATATTATTTTTTCTTTTACTGAACCGATTCAATGCTCAACTTTGTCGTTATTTGAGTTGGAACTTTAGATTGGTGCATTTTAATGCACTCTACTATTAAGGCTTGTTGGATGGCTGTGAGAAAATATTTTTGTTCTCACGATGCAATCTTGGCCTAGGTAGCCAATGGGCAAAATATGATTTACACAAATATTATCATTTCTGGAGAGTGTACTAAAGAGAAACCTTAGGATGGAGCCGGAGAAAGCTTCTTCCTCAGCACGGGTTTATCTGGGCAAGGCTGGCATTTCAAGTCGACTTTTCAACTCCCCCCCCATCTCTGAAAACATGTTACTTTCCTAAAGTCCGGTATTCCTGGGGGACGGTTCTGTTCCAGGGAAAGAAAAAATTCCATCAGCTATCTCGGAGTTTTCTTGCCAAGTTGAAGACAGGATAGGAAGAGTGAACCGCAGCTGTGGGTTTGGATTCCGAGTGAAGTTGATCCCGAGTGTCCCTTGTCTCTTTTTGCCTAGAACAAAGAGGTGACTTGCAAGAGAGAGAAGTGCCCTGTGCTGTCACGGGACTGTGCGCTGGCCGTCAAGCAGAGGGGCGCCTGCTGCGAGAGATGCAAAGGTGAGTTGACCCTGGCCGCAGCCCTGGTGGCTATTGCTTCAGGCACCTTGTTCCTCTCTTTCATCTTTGTTTCCTTCTAGCACTCGGCTGGGACACAGGTGGGTGTCGGAGGGAAACCGACGTGTGCGTGTACACAGGGCTGGCGCGGGAGACGCCAGGAAGAGGGTGAGAGGGGCCGAAGATGCAAGCCAATCTGCACATTTGGTACATTTTCCGAGGCAAGCTGTTAAGACGCCGTGGCACAGAAGATGCAAACATGACGCCTGTGCACATCTGTACACATGCACATGGGCGTATTTTGTCAGGAAGTTTCAACACTTGGTTTTTCCAGGCTCCACACTCGTCTAGCCCTCCTCTGCCAGAGGAGTCTTTAAACCCAAATTTTATCATTTTGGTTCCTATTAAAATTTTTTTTCTTCCCAAATTAAATCTCTGTTCTCCCACTCGTCTTTGAGGCAGCCCCGAAGTCTCCTGCCCCAGCCCTGGTGCCCTCACGCTGGTCTGGAATGCCGTCTGGTGGCGCCTGCTGCTGGCTCTAGCCCAGGTCTTTCCTACCACTCTGGCCAGGGGCTGCAGCACCCCGGGGCCACTGGCTCTCACTTGACACTTGCCCCAGGAACTCTCTGTTGTGTATAGTTCACACGGATCATGCGGTGTTGTGTGTCCCATTTTTGTCATTTCGTTTTAGTGAAGGAACCTGCCCATAGGAGGCAGAAGTGAGGCTTGACATGGTGTGGTATGGAAATACACAGGGCAGCATGGGGTAGCCACACTTGAAACTCAGAGCAGGGGTTTAGGATGTGTGCTCCAGAAATTGTGTTAAGTCAGAACAGTACACGGGGAGTGGGGGTGGAGGTTCCCCCAGAGTTCATATGCACTCAGAACCTCAGAAAGTGTTGTCTTGTTTAGAAATAGTCTTTGCAGATATTGTCCAATCAAAGAGGGGTGATATTGGAGTAGGGCGGTCCCACATCAAATGTGACCGCTGAGTATCTTTACATGAAGAAGATTAGGCAAACACAGAAAATAGGGTCATGGCCCCAAAATGCAAAGGCTGTAGTAATGAATGCTGCTTGAGGAAACATCTGGGACAGCTGGAGGTGGGAGAGGCAAGGGGTTCTTCTCAGGTGGGAGCTTCTCATGTGGAGCTGAGGGCCAGCACCTTAGTTTTTCATTCCTGGTCCTTCAACTGTGAGAGACCATGTTTCTGTTACTGTTTTTAAACTATTAATTTTAATTGATAAATAATATCTTTGTATAGTTTAAGATACAATGTGATGTGTGTAGGGTGTGTAATGAGCAGATTAGGGCATCAGCATGGCCGGCACCTCAAACATTTAATTACATGTAATATTACTGATTTTTTTCCTCATAAAAACTGTAGTTTTGGGGACTTCCATACACATCGTGTACTTTGGTCAAAACTGGCCCCCAATTCCTTTCTCTCCAACTTCTCCCTTATCTCCTGCCCCACAAATTTCCCCTTCCAACTTGATGTATTTAAAAACAATAATACAAAACAACAACAACAAACCTCTCAGAGTTTACCTAGTGTGTGTGTGTGTGTGTGTGTGTGTGTGTGTGTGTGTGTGTGTGTAGGGCGGGCCTAGGATAACTGGCAGGTTACCAGGGACTGTGAGCACCCCTCCCCTGCAGTATCCACCAATAGATGCCTAGCCAGTAGTGGAACTTTGTAGGCCCCTTCCTATCCATGACGGCGTTTGTGTAGTCTTAGCTACTGTGCGTTCCCAGGTGCAACAGCACCCGCTATCATGTCCAGAAGAGCCCATTGCAGCTGCTCTCCACAGCCTTTGGCTGGTAAAATCCTTCTGTTCCCTCTTCCATGGTGATCCTTGAGCCTTGGCAGGACGTGGGATGATACAGAAGTCCCATCATTTAGGGCTGAACACTCCACAGTCTCTTGTTCTCTGCACTTGGATCAGTGGTGAACCTTTGTGTTACTCACGATGACAGCAGAGAGCTCTACTACAATTTGGGTATAAAGATGAGAATTTATTGATCAATGACATATTTACTTTGAAGAACAATAGTAGTAGTTTCTGCCCCAGGGCCTATAACTTAGTCAGAAAGATGAGCCCTTGGCTCCATTAATGTTACCATTTATGAGTTCAGTCTTGTGGAGCAGATCGTGAATCTTCTCAGAAAGTGGTCGATTTCTCCCATAACATTTGTGTCACTACCACATTAGAGGGCATATCTTGCCAGGCTGATCATTATTGTAGCTTTTGGGGTTTATAGTTGAGTGAGGCCATTGATTACTTTTCTTCTTTTCCTCAATACTGTGCATAGCACTTTCTAACACATTGTGAAAGCTAGCCAGTGGGGTGATGTTTCCAGATCAGTGTCAGCATGATTCTTCCATGTCCTAAGACTTATGTATGTGGTGTCTTCAGCAAGAACGTCTTAGTGTCAAGTTGTGGGGAGTAACAAGGAACGATGTTAATAGGCTGTATTGTTTTGGGGGTCTCTTGCCTGCAGTTTCAAAGGAAGTATCCCATACCAAACATTTTATTTGATAGTCTCTTGTGTCTTGGAGAGGCATATTGGGCAGCTCCATTTAAACTCTCTTGTCTGTCTGTCTATCTATCTATCTCTTAATATATATTATTATATGGTATCTATTATGTTATATATCTTGTATCTATCTGCCTATCTATCTGCAGAGTCCTTTGGGTAGATACACAGGAGTTGTATATACTCCTGTTGGATCATATAAGAGTTATATTTCTAGCTTTTTGAGGAATTTCCACACTGATTTTCATAATGTTTGAACTAGTATGCATCCCACTAAGAGTGCCAAATGAATATAATATTAAATTGCTCTTTAAATATATATAGTTGTGAGCCCAGCCTTTAATGGCTGAGCCATCTGTCCACCCCCTCTAATATATGTAAAGAAGCTTCTAAAACAGGTTTCCATATGACTTTTTAAGATGCTGTGTCTTTGAAATAAGTGTCAGTTATCCTCTCCTACACTCTGCCCTCCCATCCCCCACTCCACTTATCCCTTCTTGCCCTATTATTTCTCTTTCCCCCTGTTTTATATCATCTCCCTTGCCTTAAAATCTCTTGCCTTCCATGCCCCTTTCTGGTTTCCTGACTTGTACAGGCTCTCCAATTTGAACACACATATTTAAAGATCTACATATGAGAGCTAAGTAGGTGGTGTTTGCCATTATGGGTCTGAGTTACCTCACTCACAATGATTATTCCAAGCTCTGTCCATTGCCCTGTAAATTCTATTTCTCTTCACAGTTGAATAACATTCTATTGTGTGCATGCATTTTCATTGTCCATTCTTCAGCTGGTAGAGTCCTAAGCTGTCTCATTTACTGGTTGTAGTGGACAGAGCAGCAGTGAACATTGACAAGCAAGTATCTCTAGAACAGAATATAGAATTCCTTGAGAATATCCCTGAGAGCAGTATTGCTGGATGCTATGGCGGATCTCTTTGCAGCCTTTTGAGGACCTTCCCGTCGTAGCTGAGCCAGTTTGTGTTGCCACCAGCAGTGAATAAACGTTTCTCTTTCATTGCATCGTTAGTCCAACATTTGTCTCCTTTTTTTTTTTTTTAACATGTAGCCATTCTCACTGGGTTAGGGTGAAATCTCAAAGTAGTTTAAATTTGAATTTCTCTGGCTGTTAAGGGTGTTGAATATTTAAAAAGATATTTCTTAGCCATTTGCGTGTCTTCTTTTGAGTTCTCCCTGTTCAGTTTCACAGGCCATTTTAAAATTAGGTTGTTTTCCTGATGTTGAGTGTTTTGACTGTTTTTGTGCATCAGGCAGTAATTCTCTGTCAGATACATAGCTCTGTGGGCTCTGCGCCACTCTGGCGATGGCCCCCTGTGGTGTAGAGAAGCCCTTTAGTTTTATACAGTCCTGTGCTCAGCTATTGCTTTAATTCGTGTGCTAGTGCAGCCCTACTCAGAAAGCCCGTACGTTTGCCCGTGCTCTACGCTTTCCCCTAGCAGACTTAGAATATTGGCTTGTCACTGAACTTCTCCATCTGTTTGGGGTGAATTTTGTGCAGGGTGAGAATAAGTATCTGGACTTATCCTTCTCCGTGTAGCTATCCAGTTTGCCCAGCACTGTTTGTTGAAAAGGCTGTCCTTTCTTCTGGAGTTCTTTTGACAACTTTTCCAGAAACTAGACGTCTATAGGTTCATGATCTTGTGTCTGGCTCCTCAGTTCTATTCAGTTCAGAAGTGAACCTGTTTTCATGCCTGTTCCATTCTGTTTTTACTGCTATAGCTCTTCAGTGAAAATTAAAATCGGCTATAGTTATATCTCCGGGAGTTCTTTTATTGGTCAGGATGATTTTCGACTATAATCATTTTGAGTGTGTGTTTGTGCGCTTGCGCGCGCACATGTTTGTGCATTTCTATATGACATTTAAGATTTCTTCAATTTCTATAAAGAATTGCATTCAAATTTTATGGGTATTACATTGAATCAGTAGATTATTTTTTGCACGTTAGCCACTTTCATAATGTTAATCTTATCAGTCCATAAGATTCTGGGTTATTTCCATATTTTGGTATCTTCTTCAGTTCCCTTCTAATGCTTTTAATGTTTTCCTTATGAGAGTCTCTCACTTCCTTTGTTAGCTTTATTACAAGATTTTTTTGAGGCTATTGTGAGAATAATTGTTTTCATGATTTCTTTCTCAGTGTCTCTATCATACAGGAGCAGTAGTGACTTTTGTGTGTTAATTTTATATCCTGCCATCTTGCTGGAAGTATTTATTAGCTGCAGGAGTTTTCTGGTGGAGGGGTTAGAGTCTTTTATGTATACAATCATATGTTAGTAAGTATACTCTAATGTATTCCTTTTCTATTTGTATGCCTTTTGTCTCCGTCTCTTGTTTTATTTTTGTAGTTGAGGTTTCACTCTATATATTGAACATGGGAAGATGGATGTTGTTTCATGTTCTTGGTTTTAGTAGAAGCGATATATTGTGTTTTCATTTTCATACAG